CTCTGTCTTCTGCTTTTGTGTTGTCTCTTCATCTCTCTCTCTCTCTCTCTCTCTCTCTCTCTCTCTCTCTTTCTTTATTTATATATATATCTCTCTCTCTTTCTCTCTCTCTCTCTCTCTTTCTTTTTTTCCCGGAAAGGGCATCGGCCCAGGGTTCTCTTTTAGTAGGTAAACCTGTCCCCCGGTGCCTGCTTGAGGGAGGCCGGCGAATTTTTTCCCTGATAAATAACGAGGTCGAAGGAGGCCGGCGAATTAAAATTTGAGGATGTCTCGAGCGCGAAACTTTTGCTTGATTTGTTGAGGGTGCGAGGCACTTTTTCGTGTGTTGAGGATGTCTCGAGCGAAACGCTTGCTCCGCAGAGTTTGCCGAGGATGTCTCGAGCGAAACGCTTGTTTTGCAGAGCCGACCGCGACGCGGAAAAGCGCCCCGCGCGAAGGAATTTCGATGATGTCTCGACTAATTCCTTTGTTTTTGTACGATTTCCTGGAATTTTGGCAGGATGTCTCGAGCGAAATGCACGACCCCACCCTAGCACGACCATACCCCAGCACGACCACACCCCAGCACGACCAGACCCCAGCACGACCCCACCCCAGCACGACCCCACCCCAGCACGACCATACCCCAGCACGACCACACCCCAGCACGACCCGACCCCAGCACGACCCTACCCCAGCAAGACCACACCCCAGCACGACCACACCCCAGCACGACCTCACCACAGCACGACCACACCCCAGCACGACCACGCCCCAGCACGACCACGCCCCAGCACGACCACCCCCAGCACGACCACCCCCCAGCACGACCACCCCCCAGCACGACCACTCCCCAGCACGACCACACCCCAGCACGACCACACCCCAGCACGACCACACCCCAGCACGACCACACCCCAGCACGACCACACCCCAGCACGACCCGATCGATAAATCACAGGGTGCGGAGCACCCCAGCACGAACCCACCCCAGCACGACCCCACCCCAGCACGACCCCACCCCAGCACGACCACGCCCCAGCATGACCACACCCCAGCACGACCACACCCCAGCACGACCACTCCCCAGCACGACCCCACCCCAGCACGACCCCACCCTAGCACGACCACACCCCAGCACGACCACACCCCAGCACGACCCCACCCCAGCACGATCACACCCCAGCACGACCCCACCCCAGCAAGACCACACCCCAGCACGACCGCACCCCAGCACGACCTTACCACAGCACGACCACACCCCAGCACGACCACGCCCCAGCACGACCACGCCCCAGCACGACCACGCCCCAGCACGACCACGCCCCAGCACGACCACGCCCCAGCACGACCACGACCACCCCCCAGCACGACCACCCCCCCAGCACGACCACCCCCCAGCACGACCACCCCCCAGCACGACCACACCCCAGCACGACCACTCCCCAGCACGACCACACCGCCTTGGTTGAGTGGTTGCCTGTCGTCGTGGAATGTTTCGTGGGGTGTCTCGTGGAATGTTTCGCGGGGTGTCTCGTGAAATGTTTCGTGAGGTGTCTCGTGGAATGTTTCGTGAGGTGTCTCGTGGGCTGTTTCGTGAGGTGTCTCGTGGGATGTTTCGTGAGGTGTTGCCCAGTTGGGTATCATGAAAACGTGTCCATGCTCCACATGTCTATATCCCTTTCCGGGTTCGTGGGTCCATCATGTTTCTCTCTCTCTCTCTCTTTCTCTCTTTGTTTTTGTTTCCTCTCTCTCTCTCGAAGGAGGAGGAGGAAGAGCAAAAGAAGAAGCAGAAACGTACGCATCAACTACAGGAGCGCCGCACCGACCCCTCGACTCGGCGCTGGCCGCCCCCTGGCTGCGCCTCTGGCGCCGCCCCTGGCGCGCCCCTGGCGCCAGGGGGGGGGTCCAGCGCACACAGTGGAGGCCTCCTCCTCCTCCTCCTCCTCTTCCCTCCTCCTCTTCCCTCCTCCTCCTCCGCCTCCTCCTCCTCATCCTCCTCTTCCTCCCCCTAGCACCCTGCTTGCCTCCAGGGTGCCCTGGATTTCTTGGGTTTCGATGGTTCTGCTGTGGAAGGCGTGACGCTCCCATCCCGAAAGTCCGTGGACGCCCTGGGGTCTCGGGGTTGGGTTTCTTGTGGGAGGTTTTTTGTGGACCAGCCTCCGCTGTACATCTCTCTGGCTCCGCGCCAGGAGTGACCCCTCGCTGGAGTGGCCCCTCCGTGCGGGTCTGCAGGAGGGGGGCCCCAGGCAGCGGCCTGTGCGGCCCCTCGCGGCCCCCTCGCGACCCCGAGAAAGCCGCACACCAGAGGCCACCCAGGGTCAGGAGGAGGAGGAGGAGGAGGAGGAGGAGGAGGAGGAGGAGGAGGACCTCCTCTCCTCCTCCTCTCTCCTCCTCCTCCTCCTCCTCCTCAGTCGCCGCTTCCTGCCAAGAAGAGGCGACCGACTGGCCAGATGGGCCAGACGCGCCCCCTTTCGTGTTCACCCCGCCACACAGCCGTAGGGGTGAGGGGGGGATGGCGCTGATCTCTCTGCTGCTTGCGACCGCTGCTGTGCAGACGACACTAAGAGGGGGGACGGACGACCAGCCAGCGAGGAGTAGCACGTTGTGCAGGAACAGGGAAGGAGACATTAGAATTGCGACGTATAATCCTCTGTACGCAGACTTCGACAGGCATCAAGACATAAGCAGGGAGCTAAAATCATGGGACTGCGTGATACTGGCGGGCACACAACACAGAGCTGAGCTGGACTATCCCAGCGCGCAAGTTCAACTGAATCACCACTGGGGCGTACGGTTTGGGAAGGGAAGGGGACGGCACTCAAATAAAAGCTGCGGGGTGTCTATTCTGCTGGGTAACTCGTATAGCAAGACTTCATTGAGAGCTGTGTACGACCCGCCCAGTGCGATACAGGGGCGAGCTGGAGCGGTGCGCATCCGCACGGACCAGGAAGACCTACTCATCGTAGCGGTTTACTTTGCCCCTGTGACGACAGCGCGGAGCGCGGAGACGGCCGACCGTATCTGCAGCTGGATAGAAGGATTGTACGACAGAGCTGGCGTGAGAGTGACGATGCTGGTGGGAGGGGACATCAACAGTGACTTCGGACTGGCGAGAGACGAATCAGGCGTTATGGAGCACACAGGGACGGGAAGTAGGTAGGCACTACCCCCGCTGTGAAAACGAAAATGGGCTTCGTTTCAGAAAACTGTGTGCCGACAACCAGCTGTTTATGCCGAGTACGGACAGCGAGCTTGTGAAGCAAACGTTCTACGGGGCCAAAGGAGGAGGATCGAGGATAGACCACTTCGCGATCCCGTCGGGGGCCAGGGGCTTGGTACAAAAATGCTGTGTCCTCAAGAACTCGGGCAGGCGCCTGCAAGTGATTCGTAGCCGGTTCCCACGGGACCATGTCCCCGTGGGCTTGCAGATTCCCCTCGGTTTAGCGTCCCGCAACTATACCAGAATGCAGTACACGCCACCACTGGATAGAACGGCCCTCATGAGATGTCTGAGAGAGGGGGTCAAGAGGGAGGAGTTCTTTGAGAAGGTGGAGGAGGAGGCTAGGAAGACGACGGAGGAGGAGTGGAGGGAAGCGGCTGCGAGGAAGACTCCCGACAGGATGTGGGACCTGCTAGGTGGGGCAGTGAGGACCGCGCTCAAGGAGGTATTCCCGCCTCGGAGGCGGGAGCTGCCCGAGTGGCAGAAAGAACTGCGGGACGCCAGGATGATGCTGCTGGACAAAAGGCGAGGACTGAGGGAGGGTGAGGGGCGGTGCAGGGAGGAGGAGAAGGAGGAACTCGAGCACGTGCAGGAGATGCTACGGCAGGTGTCGGCGGCTCTGAAAGACAACAGGAGGACGGAAACTAAAAGACGACAGGAGGAACTTGCCACGGAAATATGGGAAGCGTATCTAGGGGGTAGGTGGGCGGAGATGCATGCTCTACGTGTGGAATACGCTAGAAACGGACGGGGGCCCAAGAAACGGTACTATTATGCAAGTAGGACCTACTGGAGCAAGGAGGAATGGGCTACTGAACTGGAGCGTCCACCGTATGAGGGTGGAATGGCATGCAAAACAGTGGAGTGGGAGGAGACACGGGCAGAGTACGAGGCAGAGTGCGAAGCCCACGGTGAGCTATTGTTCGATGATGTCGATCTGAGGGACCTGGTACGACAAGACAGATCTGCCATGGAAAACTATCTCAGGAAATGCAAGAAGCGACGGGCTTGGCCAAGCTGGGGGCTTCCCAGCGAGGCATCACTACTGCTACTTGCGCCGACAGTGCACATGGAACAGCCACACAAACGGTCTGAAGCAATGGCAAAAGCGGCTCACGACAGGGCGGAGCAAGAGGTGGACGAGGAGGATTTGCTGAGGCAGACAGAGGTGAGGAGGATGGAGAAAGGAAGGAGACTGCTGGAGAAGATGGGATGGAAGAGTGGCGAGGGCCTAGGCAGGAGGCAGAGGGAGGAGGGGCAGGCACCACAGGAGATTATAGAAGATGAGCACTGGGTGTTTGGACGTGCGAAGGGGGCTGGAATAGGGAGCCAGAGATTCACGAGCGGTCAAGCGGCACCATTCTTTCAGACACAACTGGACAAGTGGTTTGTGCTTGTGAGACGTGCGCAGTGCATGCCGCTGGACACGCTACGGGCCCAGAGTTTTTCGTCCAGCAAAAACAATGGCAAAGAAGGAATTGCAGGACAACGACTGATGCACAGCTACTGCTCGTGGGGTCTGGCGTGGCACGCTGGAATCCATGAAAGGGCGCTCGAGGTTGAAAGGCCAGACTGGGCCCACGGTGGCCTAAAGCACAGGTCGCGTGAGAGTGCACTGGTCACATTACAATCAGCTCAGTGGAGGTGCAGGCAAGTACAAATACCATATGTGACGACCAATTTCGACTGCACAAATGCATTCGCCAGTACACGGAGAGACGTTCTGGAGGCCACGGTTGCACGACAGTCAGCAGAAAGTGATGGAATGTTTGCACTGGGGGCAGTCCAGCACCAAGCCATGAGCATCGCAGGGGGCAATGGGAGGGCAGACATGATCAGTACGACGGGCGCGCAGATGGGCTTCTGCTTAGCCCCTAGGGACTTCAACGATTGCTACAATCCTGTTATCGCCGCGTGGCTTGCAGAAGACCCAAACGATGCAAACAGGCTGCTGAAGGCTCTCTGCCCGGTGACGAAGAGGTATTCGAATCTGTCGATATGCACGTTCATGGATGATGTGACGAAACTGTCTATGTGGGAGGGTGGGGTTACTAGCTACGGCATTGCTGCAGAGCTCAATCTTATGACGAAGAGGTTGGAGGAAAAATTGCTGGAGGGAGGGGGCTGGCACCTCAATCCATCAAAGACAGGACACATGTTAAGCATCATGGGCGAAGGGTGGCAGGGCATTACGAGAAAGCTCAGAAGCAAAAACAACGGAGTGATGGGGGAGACGGGACGAGAGCTTCGGGTGCTAGGACCACATCTACACACGACGGGCAATCTAGGAGGAGAGATTAGGAGGAGGATCGCCGCTGCTAGGAAGGCGTGGAGGATTGCAGGAGTGTTCTGGAAATCCGAGACTCCCAGGGAAGTACGTAGAATGATGTTCATCGCCTTCGTGCAAGGGGCGGCATTGAGCGGACTTGTTAGTATGGTGCTCGAACCTCGTCTGACTGATGCGATCGACACGGCTTTGTGCAAAATGCTGAGGTGCCTGGCGCAGGGGAAGTGTTCGTGGCAAGAGCAGGACGGAAACGTGCGACAACTAAGAAAAGAGGAGGTGTTTAGGAAGTGGAAGATAAACCGTGCTTCGGACGAGCTGAGGATTCGAAGGCTTAAATGGTACCAGAAGTGGGCGGCGTTTCCCGAGGCGCACTCGCAGGTGACGGCGGCAGTGTTCGGGTCGACGCCCCTGGACCTGAGGCACGGCACACCTAGGCTAGAGGAGGGGAGGATTAGCACCTACAGTACGCCGTGGGCGTACCAGTACTTGCAGGACCTTCAGTATTTGCGTCAACAGTGTGAAGACATGAGTTGGTACGACGACAGGGAATCTGACATATCTATACTACAGTGGGGGACTGAGGACCACCGATGCTGGCTGTGCACTGATGTGGACATACTACGTATGAACATGAAGGTACACAATTTCTGCACTGCGGATCTACAGGAGGAGGAGCTGGAGGAGGAGAAGCAGTACGCATGTGAGGAGGTGGTGAAGGGGGACGACGGGGAGGAGCACGTATGTGGGAAACGGTACAAAACTTACAGCGGTCTTACAACACACAAAACGTGCCAGCACGGACAGAGGGCGTTGTTGAGTCTGCTGACGGTAACAAATCAATGCCCGCGGTGCCGAAGCACTTTCTCCAACAGAGACGTGGCCGTCCAACATGTGTACTCGGCGTGTGAAGACAGGAAGGTATGTTTCGTCAACTTCAGCCCGTGGAAGCACGATGTGGTGCAACCTAAGAGTCTGGAGTGCCCCGTATGTTACATTCAGGCTCAAAGCTTGGAAGCGCTGCAGGCCCATGTTACCACTCACCACCCTGGGCCTGATCGGGCTCGCTTCACTCGTGACGCAGAAGACAGAGGATGCGATGGCGTGGAGAGTGACGGGGGCCCACGCCGCAGAGGGAGGAGTACCAGGCGCTGGGACCTCAGCAGGCTCGCGAGGGCCTCAGCCCGCGCCCGCGCACCCAGCCGCCCAAGGCGCTCAGGCGGGAGGGGCGGCGCTCGGCAAAGGAGGCAAGATTCACCCACCAGCGCCCAAGTACCAGCGCCTGGGCGGGGGCAAGCGCGGCGGGGGCTCGGACGAGGTCGACCTGGTGGACGCGATGGTGTCGCTCCAGAAGATGGGGCTGAGGCAGGACCAGCGCGCCCGAGAGCACGAACACATGTTGTCCCTGTTCTACATGATGACCAAGAAGAGCAAGATCTGCCAGATGGGCCTCGAGGCGGGCCTCGACTACTACGCGGCGGTGGCGAAGAGGGGCAAGGGCCACGGATTGGGGGCGCCTTACCTGCACGTGGCCGCGGGAGCGTTCGACGGGCTGGTAGAGGACGCACAGGAGGGCCAGCACAAGGCGGTGCTCCAAGCGTACCAGAGGCTGTTCCACACGGAGAAGGGCATGAAGTTCGTGAAGGAGGTTTTCGGCAGTTTCAGAGTGAAGGAGGCGCACAACGAGGAGGGAACGGCGGAGAAGGACGTCAAGGTGAAGGCGAGCTTCAACCTCAATCCCCTGGCAGACGTGGCGATGCTCATAGAGTGCCTGAAGGTGAAGACGGAGGGCGACGTACCGAGCCTGGGAATCTTGAGGAGGGCGATGATGCTGGCCCTCGAGGAGGCGGGCGGAGTGCAGTCGGACGGGCCCGCGCCAAAGGACGAGCTGACCAGGGTGGTGGAGCGACAAATGCAAGGGCTGCAGAGGATGCGCGGCTGAGCGGCGCGACGGCCCTGACCATCGTGCAGCTCGAGCGGCTGAGGAGGATGGCGGCAGCTGGCAGTGTCCGTGCACGGCAGTTGCTGGAGACAGCAGAGCGGCAGAGAGAGAGGCGTTAGGGGGAGGCTGCGCCCAGAGGAGGCAGGCCACCCCCGCCATCGACACGAGGCGAGAGTTCCCCCGTGCCGACGCGGCACCGCTTCGACGTCTTGTGGGCGCCAGGCGGCCGCCGCAGGTCCGCTCCGACGGCAGGAAGTGTCGCCAAGCGGGGCCAGTCCATATCATTCGCAGGGGGCAGGAGCAAGATGCTGATGTGAGGCGTGCTGGCCCGCGGAGGCGAGGGAGACACGCCCCCCAAGCGCATATCATATCATATCATCATCCTCCTCCTCCTCCTCCTCCTCCTCCTCCTCCTCCTCCTCCTCCTCCCCCTCCTCCCCCTCCCCCCGGCAGCGCCCAGGGTCGCTCTCGCATGGAGCCGAGTTCTCAGCCTTTCGGGCGTCCGTCCACCTGGCCACCTCACCGATCGTGGCTGGGCCCAGGATGGGTGCATTTTCGCCCTCGCCTTCCTGGCCCTGGGCAGGGAGACGTGCGCACCGCTCCTGGGCCAAGGCTCGGACTGGCCAGGATCGGTGATGGTGGCCAGGCTGACGTCGCCCGAGTCCTGCAGCCTTCGCCGGCCCAGGATAGGTCGGGCGCGTCCCTCTGCAGGAGGAATGTTCAAAAGTTGTCAAAAAAATAGTCTGGGGGCGATGTTGGGACTATTTTTCCCGGAAAGGGCATAGGCCCAGGGTTCTCTTTTCCTATGTAAACATGTCCCCGGTGCCCAACTTGAAGGAGGCCGGCGGATTCTTTCCCTGATAAATATCGAGGTCGAAGGAGGCCGGCGGATTAAAAATTGAGGATGTCTCAGGCGAAACGCTTGTTTTTGAAATCCCGATCGATAAATCACAGGGTGCGGGACACCTCAGCACGACCACACCCCCAGCATGACCACACCCCAGCACGACCACGCCCAGCACGACACGCCCCAGCACGACCACACCCCAGCACGACCACACCCCAGCACGACCACACCCCAGCACGACCACACCCCAGCACGACCACACCCCAGCACCAGCACGACCACACCCCAGCACGACCCGATCGATAAATCACAGGGTGCGGACCACCCCAGCACGACCACACCCCAGCACGACCCCACCCCAGCACGACCACGCCCCAGCACGACCACACCCCAGCACGACCACACCCCAGCACGACCACACCCCAGCACGACCCACCCCAGCACGACCCCACCCAGCACGACCACACCCCAGCACGCAGCACGACCCCACCCCAGCACGACCCCACCCCAGCACGACCACACCCCAGCACGACCACACCCCAGCACGACCCACCCCAGCACGACCCACCCCAGCAAGACCACACCCCAGCACGACCACACCCCAGCACGACCTCACCACAGCACGACCACACCCCAGCACGACCACGCCCCAGCACGACCACGCCCCAGCACGACCACGCCCCAGCACAACCACCCCCCAGCACGACCACCCCCCCAGCACGACCACACCCCAGCACGACCACCCCCCAGCACGACCACACCCCAGCACGACCACTCCCCAGCACGACCACACCGCCTTTGTTGAGTGGTTGCCTGTTGTCGTGGAATGTTTCGTGGGGTGTCTCGTGGAATGTTTCGCGGGGTGTCTCGTGGAATGTTTCGTGAGGTGTCTCGTGGAATGTTTCGTGAGGTGTCTCGTGGGATGTTTCGTGAAGTGTCTCGTGGGATGTTTCGTGAGGTGTTGCCCAGTTGGGTATCGTGAAAACGTGTCCATGCTCCACATGTCTATATCCCTTTCCGGGTTCGTGGGTCCATCATGTTGGATCGTTTTGTATATGTTTCGGTTATGTCTCCTATTTCCTGTGAAATCCGCCTGTAGGAGGGCATGCCCGACCTAAATCTAGGAGGGCGGACCGCCACGGTGGTGCGCCTCTGGCGGGCGGGAGGTCTGGCGGCCGCGGCCAGCCCAGGCGCGGGCAGGAGTCTCGCGCGCGGCTGGCGGTCACAAGAAAAGATGACGATCGGTCTCCCGTCAACCCAGACCCCCTCGGGCAATGGAACAAAAATCACGACGGGAAGTTTTCCCTATTTTCGGCCTCGGGGGGCCCTCGCCGGCCTCGGGTCCGTCCAAAAGCGGCTCGGGATGAAAAACCGGTCCCTGTGAATTGGTCGAGACTTCTGGGGTCGACGTCATGCAACACATCTTGATGTCGGGGGTCTGGGAGTCTAGGCCTCCCGAGTGGGATCCGAGCAGATGGGGTCGAAGGATCGCGCCGCATCGCCGATGCATCGGCGATGCGGCGACATGTGGAGCCTGATTCTCTCCGCGTCGCCGACGCGTCGCAGACGTCGACGATGCATCGCCGATGCATCGGCAGGGGGGGGGGGGGCCGGCTCAGAGAGGGGCGCGTTCCCCAGTGGGCCCACGACGCGCCGACGCGTCGCAGACGTCGACGATGCATCGCCGATGCATCGGCAGGGGGGGGGGGGGCAGGCTCAGAGAGG